GAAAAATTACTGAATCGATTTTGAAAATCTTTGGAAATTCTGAATAGCTGATACTTTGACTCTTATGTCTAATTTTGGGAATACGATATTTTGCATATAGCATTATACTACAGGGTGTTAAACGAAGACATGTATTTTTTCCGAAATTTCAAGTTATTCCCATTCATGAGGCAGTTGAGTTTGATAGTCGTAATACCCCTCCCTAATATAAGTAAGGTAATCCCTCGGAACATTTTCGAGATTTAGTGAATATCGCGGCTTACTACGATTATATGCCAAATTATCGAAAATTGTCGTTATTTCCCAGTTTAGTCCAAAAAATGAGCAATAGTGGATTCTTTGACACGTCTAATTTTGAGAATACAATATTGTGCACATAGCATTATACTACAGGGTGTTAAAAAAGGGGATTTTTTTTTCAAAATTTCAAATCCCCATTCACAGGGCAGTTGAGCTTGATAGTCGTAATACCCCTTCCTAATAACAGTTAGGTTATACATCGGGACGTTTTCGAGATTTTGTGGATATCTTGGCTAACTACGTCCAAAAAATGAGCAATAGTTGATTCTTCGACTCTTATGTCTAATTTTGGAAAAACGATATTGTGCACATAGCATGATACTACAGGGTTTTAAAAAAAGATATGTTTTTTTCCAAAATTCCAAATCCCCATTCGCAGGGCAGTTGAGCTTGATATTCCTAATACCGCTTCCTAATAACAGTTAGGTAATCTATCGGGACGTTTTCGAGATTTTGTGGATATCTTGGCTAACCACGATTATATGTCAATTTTTCGAAAATTCACGATATTCTTCATTTTAGTCCAAAAAATGAGCAATAGTTGATTTTTTTTTACCCTTATGTCTAATTTTGGGAATACGATATTGTGCGCATAGCATGATACTACAGGGTGTTAAAAAAGAGATGTTTTTTTCCAAAATTCCAAATCCCCATTCTGCTGCCTGCCCTTTTTTTCTGCTAATTGGGGAAACTATGTGTTGATAACTAATCGATACCTTCCGTAGTTTGCTCATTTTTGGGACTTAAGTGAAGAATAACGTGAATTTTCGAAAAACTGCCATATAATCGTAGTTATCCAAGACATCCACAAAATCTCGAAAATGTCCCGAGGGATTACCTCTTATTAGGAAGGGGTATTATGACTATCAAGCTCAACTTCCCTGTGAAAGGTGATTTGGAATTTTGGAAAAACATCTCTTTTTTTAACACCCTGTAGTATAATGCTATGTGCACAATATCGTATTCCCAAAATTAGACGTGTCAAAGAATCCACTATTGCTCATTTTTTGGACTAAACTGGGAAATATCGAAAATTTTCGAAAAATTGGTATATAATCGATATCCACAAAATCTTGAAAACTTCCCGAGGGATTACCTAACTGTTATTAGGAAGGGGTATTAGGACCATCAAGCTCAACTGCCCTGAGAATGGGGATTTGGAATTTTGGAAAAAAACATATCTTTTTTTAACACCCTGTAGTATTATGCTATGTGCACAATATTGTATTCCCAAAATTAGACGTAAGTCAAAGAGTCCACTATTGCTCATTTCTTGAACTAAACTGGGAAATAACGACAATTTTCGATAAATTGGCATATAATCGTAGTAAGCCGCGATATTCACACAATCTCGAAAACGTTTCGAGGGATTACCTTACTAATATTAGGGAGGGGTATTACGACTATCAAACTCAACTGCCTCATAAATGGGAATAACTTGAAATTTCGGAAAAAATACATCTTTTCGTTTAACACCCTGTAGTATAATGCTATGTGCAAAATATCGTATTCCCAAAATTAGACATAAGAGTCAAAGAATCAGCTATTCAGAATTTCTAAAGATTTTTAAAATCGATTCAGTAATTTTCCAATAACGAGCTTTCAAATATTTTCCAAAAAACTAGGTGCGTCGATTTTTATGACGAGCAGTTTATTAGCGTTCGAAATCGATCCAATTTTATTTATAAAAATTAAGTTTTAGTACAGTTGATTAAACAAAATAATTTGTTTAGTAAATGCATTAATTTTGTCTATGTTCTAACGTTTTCTAGAAGATCGAAATCCTGGTTAAAACAACTTAACTATCGAGATATTTTTTTAAACTTATCTTTAGATCTAGGCTAGTTTTAATGTCTATAACCCTTTTTAGAAAAAGAAGAAGATACTTTTACCTAAATTAAAAAATAATTAATTGAGGCTGCACTCATACTTTTATTCTTAGGCGCTCAATTAATCCTTAAAACAATTAGAATTTTTTAACAAAAAAGTAAACTAAAAAAAAATAGTTATAAACAATAAATTACAGATATTTCAAGATACATAATTATTCATTAGCTGTTTGTTAATGTTTATATTTACTATATAGTACTTCACTGTGCAAACTAACATTCTTGTTACTATTGCTTCGCTTGCGCATTAAACGAATATACTATTATTTTGAAAACATTCCTAAAATGAAAAAAAATATAGTCTCGACTGAAGTTATGGCAAAGATCTGTACTGTTACAGTACTACTGTAGTCAGCAGAGAAACGATGAAAAAATTCTCAACTACTATGATATGTGGATGTACTGCATCTAATTTGAGCGGCCGCCGATAGGAATACATTAAATATGAAAGTGACAAGGAAGACCTTCTGGAACCTTTCGGTAAAATCGATTAAACTATATTAAGATGATGCCTGTAGATGCCTTCCTTCTTACGTAAGAAAACGTTCACAATAGACACTTTCTTGGAAACAACGCGCTATAGATTTGTACGATCTACACTCTCTAAAAATGAATTAGTCAAAAATGACTATTTACTACAGTTATTAGTGGCTGCTTTTTCACTTATACCATGGTATTCCATGGGATTATATCCCTGACATAATAGCCAATTCTTAAGTAAAATTGTCCCCTGAATCCGAAAATACTGTCAAAAATTATAAAAGTAGAGCAGTTCTTGAGATATAGTCAATTCCATATTATAAGAAAAATTTACTATATCTCAAAAACTGTTTTACTTTTATAACTTTTGACAACATTTTCGGATTATGCGGACAATTTTACATAAGAATTGGCTATTATATCGGGGATACCATGCTATCCCATGGTATACCATGGTATAAGAAAAAAAGCAGCCACTTATAGCTGTAGTAATTAGTCATTTTTGACTAATTCATTTTTAGAGAGCAGGAAGATCAGGCAGGGACAGCTAATAACAGGTGTAAAATTCAAGAAATGCTGTTCTTATATAAACTTTAACATTTGACGAGCGCCTTTAGATTTTAAAAATGGGACTTGGGGTGGGGGTTTTGTACGATTTTAGGAGCATCTGAATGCCATTTTCCCTAAAGAGGAGAAAGGGGGGGAGGTGGTCAGTTTTGAGATGAACTGAGCCACATGTAGCAAAAATGACGCTGTATTTAAAGTTAAACTTTTAGCCCAATGCAAGTATAATTGAAGACCTTGGTGCAAAAACCGGACAAGTCCATTTTTGTGATAAGCAAAAATGTGTTAATTACAATGTTGAGTAATAAAAAAATAATATTAATGGACACATTTTTGCTTATCACAAAAATGGACTTGTCCGGTTTTTGCACCAAGGTCTTCAATTATACTTGCCGGGTTATTATAATAGTTGCTTTATCAAGTTAACCAAATAAATATAAATATACTGTGATTTACTTTTAATATAAAAGGCCATAATTTTATAATTATTATTATTATTATTTATCTTTAATAATTTTTATTTTAAAAATTGGATATTTTTTATTTTATAATCAATAATTATTATTAACTGTGAAAACTAACTGGACTAAATTTACATTTAAATTTAAATAACCATCGATCCTTAAGGAATTTAACCTAAATTGTTTTTAATAAAGTTTTAAAAAATAAAAATTTACTATGAATTCAACCTTGAATAACTTTTGAACGAGTAAATTTATCATAAATGAATAAGGGACCATTTTTGTAGAGCGTTTAATTTCCTACACGAATACATATTAACGTATTAACAATTGTTAATATTAAGAGCTCATATTTTAACAGGGATAATTTATCGATTACTTAATGCTTTTAAAGAAATCAAAAATGTTCGATCTTTTTAAATACTTTAATCTACATACAACTAAAATAAAATAAGGTAGAAAACATCGTTCTTCTTGCATAAATACCGCGTAGATACGTTTTTTGAAAAGGTATTTGAGGATTTAACGCCTGTACAATTTCGCTAATACCCATTGTTTCACCAACTAATTAAAAAAAATTTAAACAGTATTTTTTATATACATAAACATTAGTTTTATAAATATGTATACCCACATTTTCATCAGGCAGTAAGTGTGGCTTGATGGAATATGTAACATTTTGTTATTATGTGAAATTTACCTTTATAATATTTAACAGCATATAAAATAGTTAATATCTAGTACAAATACTTAATTATTAGCATTTAATAACATATATTATAACAATTTAAAAATATGTATATAAAAATATATTCGTATATACACGAATATTATATTTAAAATGTAATAATGGTAAAAGGCAGTATTGCACAGTCATTTTTTTATAAATCACTAATAGGAAATGTATATTGTCATGGCAAATTTTTGTATTCATAATAAAAATGATATGTTATTATTCACGGCCTCTATTTAAAATGTACTTATATAAAATAATAGGAATATTTTTTAATATGCATTAAAATAATATAATATTGTAAGATAATCTTAAACTTAACTTTTAGGATTTTATTAAAATAACATTAAACTAAAAGGGTAAACAAACATGTCTTTTAAAATACCTTGTTTAATATATATTTTTTAAAATTATTTTGCTCATCACACGTCTGTAATGGCTTTTTCCTTTCTAGCACAATTCCCAGCTCATGCTTGCACAGGAAAAGCCTATTTTCGGACTAACAAAACAAACCTGGATAAAAAAAATACAATTTTATAACTAATGAGAACAACAATATTCAAAGCATAAACTTTAGTTATCAACATCAACCATCTCGTTTTTGACCAGCGAGTAATCAATAACTTTGTGCATCCTTAAAATATGTCTTGTAATATGCATTTTTTGTTTAGCTTTGTATCCACAGTATGTGCACCGAAATTGAGGTTCTTTTCCACACTCCCACTTTTGGTGGTTTCTCAAGGAACTTTTTAACTTGTAGGCTCTTCCACAATCCGGGCAAAATATCTTTCTATCGCATTTGTCTGGACTCTTATCATCGTCGATTTTAGTGATTGTGAGCATTGGATTGGTTATTTGTTTGCGCATTAATAACAAAGGTAACGCCAAGTGATCTGGAAGTGATTCGAATTTGGGGATTTTTTTACCTGGAACAAAGTTCCTTGTTTAGTACATTTTTATTATGGTTTAAAATTTTAACGTTGTTATCTAATGCATGCAAATAAAGATAAATTAAAAGGCAATAGTATTAAAATATTTTTATTTGTTTTTATAAAATTTGCTATAAATCTAACAAAAATTAGGTTTAATATTTAATTTGAGCTGTTCTAGACTATTACAAAAATTATTAACGTAGAATATAAAATAAGTACTAAAGAACCCTTAAAACATACTTAACTTACAATAAAACATTAAAAATAAAATATAACAACCACCTTTTAAACACAACAAAATATTTGGTTTATAAATCCTTCTGACCCTTATAGCTTAAATAATAGAAATTATATAATTACTTAAATTAAATAAATACATATTCATAATGTTAAAGTCTAGAAAATGATAAAATTAAACAATAAATAAATAGAAGAGCTTTAAACCTTTTTTTGTCAAATATTTTTTCCTAAAATTAGGTCCATAAAGCCGCATACAGACCAAAGTTCCAACGTTGGCGTTGACTTGGTGTCAAGGACGTAGAAAGTGTTAAAAAAAATTGCTATAAGATTTAGTTAAAGATACGAGAGTGAATTCAGATCCTTATTTTACTGTGAATTCACTAGTCGGCATTAAAGTTTTATTAGCTGCCGACTGCAGCTGCCACTAATGCCTACTAACAGTTAAACAATTTGAATGTAGGGGGCGAAAGTGTTTACTTATTAATTTTGGGAAGACAAATATATTTATATTTATTTATTATAAGGATTATTCTGCAAATTCGCGTTTTTTCTTAAAAAATGGGGAATGATTGAAAGATCTTTGTGTAATTTTTAGTGACCAGAAACGTCAAAATAGAATATTGCATGCCCAAATCACACGCCAAAAGAAAATATCGCAAGTCAAAAGAGAGTATTGCAAGTCTAAGTTGGCGTTGGTTTGTGATGGGACTTGGTCTGGATGCGGCTTTGGAATAATCATTAGGCTCTTCCTCTCAATGAAATTTTACAGGAGAAGCGATTGAAGGCGTTTGTGTAAACAACTTTTCAAAAGATCGTGCATCATTCTACTTAAAACCATCATAATATCAAAAATCATTTTTTGGACCAAACGTTCTCTCTATTATAATATAGGTATATGTTAACTACAACTTTTTATTTTAAAAATGGTTAAATTAAAGACCAAAGTTATATTTTGTAAAAAAAAACCTTTGCGACTTTTGCCAAGGCACTTGATTTTATCGTAGTTAAAATATTAATATTTGAGGTAAGTATTTCACACCAACACTAAATTAATAACCCAATTTAAACAAAATCGGAAAACTTTAATTTGTTTGCCGTCAGCTTAGAATCAAATCATTAAGACTTCTAAAAATGTACATTTCATAAAAAAGGCCCTGCTTTTGATAAACACCTTTGTGAAGATGGAACCAATATTTTAATAAAATAATTTTAAAAATTACTATTTTTAACAAGCATATTTTAATTATTGTTTTTTATTAATGTGTTTAAAAATCAACCAAATTTTTTATAATATTTTTTACAGGTAATACTTTTTATTATTGATAATTCGCATTAAAATTATTTTAAAATGTAAAAATATTTGAAATCTATCTCTTATCAATAAAAATCTTAAGTTAAGAGTTTATATTTAAAATAGAATCTTTTTAGAAAACTTACTTTAAAATATATAAGAAAATAAAGTAAAAATATTTTTTGTAATATTCATTGATTAAATGGTATTTGTAATAGGTATAATTTAAATTACAGTGATTTAGATGAAATTTCGCACTGAAATTATAAAATCTTGCACACAAATATTTGCAAATTTTAATATTACAGAATGTGTTTTGTTGCCAATTGTATACACATGGCATTTAGGGTTTTAAAGTATCGAAAAAAACCCGGAAAAATTGGGTAAAAAACAGAAAAATTGACTTTTGCATTTTTCGTATTACCCTAAAAATGAAAAAGGCAATTTTTCTGAAAGTTTTCCAGTTTTTCCGTTTTTTTTCGAAAAAAAAAACCGGTTTTTTTTCCTCCGGGTTAATTATTCTGGAAATTTTAAAACCCTATTGGCATTACAATAAATAAAACACTTTGTACCTATGGTAATTTAAAATCTTAAATTAAGTTATGGAAACCCCAATATAAATTTAATTAGGTAAGTAATAACTAAATTTTAAAATAACGCTCATCCCACAACCAACAATTTCTAATTTTCTATAAATAAATTCCATCGGGAGTAACCGGGCAGTCTATAATTTCGATATTTTCGCAAAATAGTTCACATTTAAGCCTTTGATGTCTAACTAAATTTTTCTTTTCGTAGTAAGTTCGGCCACATATGCATTTATAGTTCCCTCGTCCTTTGGGTCTTCTCATGGGACCTACAAAAGTTTGCTATACTAAATGTTTCACAACTGTTTATTTATTCACCCAAAGTACCACCAAATAATCCAGAACACTAAAGAAAATATATATTTATTTATTAAAAATGTTTGCGTGTAAAAAAGCTTGTAAATGTTACGGTAAAAGTTAGTATAACGAAGAAGTAAACAATGTGCGCAGAATAATCTATTGGTAAATGTGGGAGGAGCTAAACATTGAATCTCAATCCATTGTTGCCACATTGTGTGTATAAATAAAACTTCTCTTCCTCATCATCGAAGCGTTGAATAGCAATTTATAACGATGCATGGTATAAATATACAATTGAGGAGCATCCATGCAAAACCGGCTATATTCACTTTAATAAAATGTTGGAAAAATGGCAAAAACTCTCGGTTTCCTGGCCTTTACAGATAAAAAAAAGCAAACTTGAGTTTTGTGGCCTTTACAGATAAAAAAAGCAAACTTGAGTTTTGTGGGCTTTATAGTACTTGATTTATAAGACATATGTACTTTCGTTTTCAAAAACTTTATATTAAGGCAAAAATTTCAAAAAATGTTTTGTATATAGCCGGTTTTGCTCAAAAACCTGCCAATAAAATGTGAAAACATGAAAAAACAGAACAATTTTAGTAGTAGTATCGACAAATCCAAGCCATAGGCTCATCAGCATTATTATTTATTGAATATAGCCGGGTTTGCTATAAAAACGAGATTTGGCCGGTTTTGCTACTAAATCTACCTTTTAAATGTGATTTTAACATGGATAAAGTCGGATTTAAAACGAATTATCTTGGTTGTCGATAGAAATTAACCCAAAGATGCGAAATAAAAAAAACAAAATTGAATAAAATGGATTTAGCCGGTTTTGCACGGATGCTCCTTAATTACTGGCGAATGTGCACATTTATTTATATAAAGATTATCTCAATAGGAGGTGGAATTTTAATTTCCTAATACATCCCTTTTTCCAATTAAGGATAATATTTTTACTACAAAATAAATTTTAAAAATTTCAATTGAAGATAAAATACATTATCTGCCAAATCACCTCGTCAGCTTCTTGGACAGGAAACCATTATTTTAGCGAAGTTTTGGACTATATTTTCAGATAAATGTATTACAATTCCACCAATACTTGAATATTGTACCTATTTTAACTGTTAAAACGTTTGTGGTTCGTTTGTGTCGGCTTTGGTCTTTAAATTACCCCAAATGCTGTTAAGTCGCACGATCTCAGTAGCCAACTGATGTCACCATTTTAAGAGATAATATAAACCAGGAAATTTTAAACGCAATAAAGCGATTGTTCCATTCCCTGTGTGACATGTATCACTATATTGTTAAAATCACAATTTATGCCATACTAAATTTCTTATTATCTCACGATAACGTTCACCATTTACTATCACCACATTTCCAGCTGCATTTGTATTATCTTTTATTTATTTTTTATTTTGTTAAAAAATAGCATCAACCATATAGGTTATTAGCTATGGTACAGTTTGGTGTAAATTATATTTTAGAGTAAAGGTTGCAATCTTTTATAAAATTAAGTATGATTTTGGGATTGTCCCTCAGGCTGTTATGTGTAAGTCCATGGAGTTGACGTTGAGCATCGAATGACAGGCACTCGTGTAGGATATGGGTGACGGAGAGTGGGCTGTCACATGTAATGCATCTTGGTGGCGGTTGTTTGTCCATTAAGTATCCATGTGATAGTCTAGTGTGGCCAATTCTTAAACGTGCTATTATTACTTGGTCTCTGCGGTGGTCAGGTAGTGTCCAGGTTTTTGGTATAGATGGGAATAATTGGTATAACTTGTTGGATGTATTTGTTTCCCATTTTTGTTGCCAGCGGGTGTACATTAGATGCTTGTTCAAGAGGTTTCGTATCTGAAGAGGGAAGTAGGTCATCATCTAACTTGTCTTGAATTGGGTTTTGTAGGGCTGAGTTAGCAAGTGCGTCTGCTTGTTCATTTCCGGTGATGCCTACGTGTGATGGTACCAAAATAAAGTGTACTTTGATCTTGGTTAAGTTAAGTGTTTTTAAGATGTTCTTTATAAAGAAATATAAAATTATAATATATAATTTGAAAAATTATATAAAAATTGAGAAGCGTGGGGTGTGGGTACATAAGGTTTTAATGCATAGATAGAACTTAATGAGTCGGTGATGATGACTGTGTTAGAATTTACCACAAGAGCTTTGAATATAGCATAGATTTCAGCTTTTAAAATGGCGACACCAATTGGCTATCGAGATCGTAGGACTTAGCACCACTTGGCATTTATATTTTGGGTAATTTTAAGAGCAAAGTCTACTCAAACGATCCTCAAGCGCTTTTACTTTTAAAAGGTAAAATAATGGTTTCCTGCCCAAGGCGCAGAGGGGGTAATTTTGCAGGAATTATATTTTATGTTTAATTATTTGAAATATATTTTGTTATAAAATATTTTCCTTAAATAGGAAAAATGTATTTTATTAAGAAATTAAAAGGTGTACCGTTTACAACATAACCACTAAATTTTCCTTCCTCAATATATAAACTAATTTACATTTCAAAATATTAATGTGACAACTACGGATCAACATTTTATACTGACATTTACCACTTAATATCCTGAACTTGCACCTCTACCGTAACATATACATTGAATGAAGAGCTTAACCCCTTGATAGTATATACAAAATAATAGCAATTATATTTTTTCAATTTTATTTTTACAAGATATGTTACAATAAAAATATATTATGGTTTATGAGTAAATTTAATTTTAAAAGGATTTTTTTACGAATTGCAGTTAATCAAAATTATTACTTACTTTTAAATTTTTGTTATAACTTAAATAAAATCACCGTTAATTATAAAACAATTTATTATTGACAATTTAACAAAATTAAATATTAAATTCTTATTGCAAGTTTATATTAACATTGGAAAATATAATTTATTGAAATATTTTTAACACATATGTATATATATAAAATTAAACATACATACAAATTAATATACAGGGTGGCACAAAAGTGTGAAAATATAATATCAAGAATATTAAAAAATATATTTTAATAATTAAAGTTGTTTTGTTGTTTATTTCAATTTTTATGGTGACATTGAAAAGGAAAAAAATACAGAGCCCCAAAGGCCCAAAGGGGGCAAAAAAAAGTTTTTCATTGTAGTAGTTCTAAATACAACGGTGTATTAATATCAGTATGTTACATAAGAATATTTTTGAGCTAAATGGCTTGGAATTAGAAAAAAAAATATCAATATGAAGCACAAAAACATTATAATGAGGCCACTGCCATTGGTAGACGAGGGCCAAGTAGGGTCACTGGTATACAAAAATAGGCCGGACAATCTTCAAATTCTTAGAAAGAATAATTGAAGAAAATTTTGAACACTTACTTTTATGTTTTTATGTTACACTTTGAGTAAAGGTTTTTTTGAATTCAAAGCCATTTTGCTCAAAAATATTTTTATGTAACATACTGAATACACCGTTGCAATCATAAAAACAGCCACTTTCAAATTCTGAGGTAACTTTTTAAAAAAAAATCGCCCCCCTGGAGGGCTTTGTATTTGTTTTAATATATTTGTCACCTTACAATTTAAAATAAACTACAAACGTACTTTTATTAAAAAAAACTTTGTGTGAAAAAATTATTTTTTCATTGATGTGTAAAAACAAGAGTTTTTCTAATTATTACAAAAATGTTTCAAATATTTTTATAATCCTAAGCAAAGTAGAGTTTTTACAAGACGAGCAAACAAAGCGAGCGTCCGCATTAATGTAAAAGTGCTGAACAGTATCTATTTTTCCATTCTTCAATTAAACTAAAATATAAAAAGTTGTTGTTTTTGCCATTCATCTCTAAGTACTAGCCTTTCTTCGGAGCGAGTCACAAAAATAAAAGCATATATTTATAGAAAAGTAGCTGGATGTTTGCTGCTTATATGTTTTTTTAAGTTATAGGCCAACTTGCACTTGTATGAACAAAAGGGGCATAACTGATTTCTTTCCTTTCCGCATTCCATTTTTAAATGAAATTTCATCGAACTTTTATGTTTGTAATATTTATTACATTTTTGACAAGTATATTGTCTACCTAAAAATAATATTAAGTAAAGAATTCCATATACTTTTTTTGGGTAGCATAAATTTTTGTTAAAGGAATTAAATATTATAAAATACAACGTATTTAGGTTCATATATTTAAAACAAAATCACATCCAGAAGAAAAATTGGTTATAGAAAAAAAATATTACTTTTATTAATACACTTTGATTTTTTTACATAAATGTCTATTTGCTATGTGCAACTTTAAATGGGCCTTTCGTTTTCCAATGTAGAGACAATTTTCGTATGGACATTTAAAGGTTGGATCTTTTCCGCACTCGTACTTTACGTGAGTGTTTAAAGATTGCCGGAATTTATATACTTTTCCACATCTAAAGCAGGTATGGTATTCTAAAACAAAGTATGTTAGTACAAGCTTAATTATTAACTATTATAAACATTTTAAAAATAATACAGTCAAAAAAATGTAGTCTTTAAACATTTTATTCAGAAAATTAAAATGATGTCAAACAAAACATTTTTAACAAATAGTAAGGCATCCAATTTACATTAGGTCTAAAATCAATCACATTTTAAGGGTATGTAGTGGGTGGTCACTTGCGATTTTTAGGTTAGAAAATCTCCATTTGTGGAGATCTTGTAACTCCATAGATCTCCATGGATATCCCTTGGGTCTTCGGTATTCTTTGATATCCATGTAGATTATCCATATACATTAATAACATCTATTTTATATGGAATTACATCTTTGAAGAAAAAAAACGAGCGACCAATAATTTTCAGACTTCATATTAATACTAGTAGTAAACTGCGTACAGAAATAAAGCTAAAATGACATCATGTCATGTAACAGAATCTTAAAAAATTATTTCATTAAATGATTTGAAAATAAAATAGTATATAAAACACGGCGGCGAAAGCTTATTAATTTCCTTTCATTCTGCAAAACAACTTTAAAGAGTGGACTGAAGTTTTTCAGTGTTCAGTGTTTTAGGTATTCTCTGACATTCTCGGACGGTGAATCGCTATCGGATCTCCACCGGATATTCATATATCTTTAAGGATTTCTACAGATCTTCTCAGATCTCTACCTATCTCCACGGATCTCCATGAAATCTTTATCCTATAGACAGATTTCCACAGTGAATACGAAACACCCCACCTAGTTTTTCCAATCGTTACTAAATCGAGGCAAAAAACTATTTGGATTGTTACGTTGACCCCACACATACCCTTGAAATGTACGGTTCAAGGTATTTAACTTAGTTCTAAATTATGCCTTCTCATCATGTGAATTTTTAAATGTCCCTTTCTTTTTGCCACGTAACGGCATTCGCTAACGAAACATCTAAATGTAGGATTTTTTCCACATTCATATCTTAAATGACGATTTCTTGATGTATGGTGGCTGTAAATTCTACCGCATTGAGGGCAAGGATAAGACCCTAAAAATATTAAATAAATATTTATTTTATTACAAAACCCAATAGAGAACTATAAAGGTTGATCTACTATCACACTGCAGTTCTTTCGTATTAAAACTACTATAATATTTATATTAAAAGCAATCGTTTATTAAAACACCTACATAACTTACAGTAATTAGGACATAATATAACGTATTATACTCGTACATGCAGTATTTATATTTTATAAATAATATCATAAGAACCTAGTAATAAGAAAATAGTTTTTATGGAAGGGGTTCGTCCAATAATGCATCTGCTTCATCAAAATTCGTTTTAACATCTTCTAAATTTTGTTGTGAATCGTATGCTAATTCATCATCATTATACATTTGTCTAAAAACATATTGAAAATAAAATATAAATAAAGGTTAATATTTTAATGTTTACCTTTTCCTTTGGCTTCTTTTATGAGCATGTTTCAGAACGTTGTCTTTAAAAAAATCAATAGTTTTTTGCTTGGTGAACCTTCTATCGCAGGAAATCAAAGCTTCGTAAAAACAACTAATTACCTCTTCGTATATTTGGAAAGTCTTTTTGTCTTCTTTCTTTTTCGATAATCCCGTCCATGTGTATAATGTTAATAATTTCGGATGAAATACTAAATCAACCATTTTATAACCTACTTTATTCCCATTTTCATTTCCGCCAGTACCACCAATTTGACTTATATAAGTTATCTAGAAAAACTTTATTAATGCATCATATACAGAGTGTCCAAAAAGTGTGTGAGCACTTTGTCCATTTACTTTGAAACGCAAGAGGTGTGCTTTACAGTAAATGGAATAACAAAGTTCTCAGACCTTTTTTGGACACCCTGTTCAAATAGTCTACTTACAAATTGCATTTTTAAAATGGGATTTCTCAGGTTATCGTTCAGAGTTTCTAGTTCCTCGCAGGTTTTTAACGGAAGTTGAAAATCAACTTCCACAGAAGCATCCATAGATTCGTGAAAATTTAAGTTTAATTCAGTAGTTGATACTTCTTTTTCTTTCGGATTATTATTACTACCACCTAACTTGCCCAAATGTACATGTAACTGTTTGAATTTGTTGTCTACTTGCTTTCTTAACTTAAATATTTCAACTTTTAAATCTTGAATTGTTCTTGTAAACCTTAATACTCGATTTAACTGACCTAAAATTTTATTATTAGTATTGGTTTGGAACTTGACATTAAAATAGAGAAAAATAGAAGTAGATAAGTTTTACAATTTTAGGCATACTAAAACAGAATTTCCAAAGCATACTTTTCTATATTTACCCATACCCTCTATAATTCTATATAACAATAAAAGCCTGAATAAAATAAAAACTAAATTATCAATAATCTTATCAACCACTCCCATTTATCGCTTCAAAGCCGTTTTGTTTTTATTTACTTGTAAAACCTTTTAGGCTTTTTCAAAACATTTACAGGAAGCCCAAATAAAAATTGTCTGCCTTTTTGGAACGTTTAGATCTTATTTTTGAGGCACAACAAATCTCCTATCAACTTTCTTGGGAATATTAATTTTATTTGAAAGATTTTTTTTATTTGATGATCTTAATATTCGTAACACTCATTTCATATTTTTCCCGCAAATGGAGATCCATATCGCATTTATTTTCGAATTTGTCACAGCCGGTATACGGTAAAAAGGTTTTACATTTTTAAACTCCTTTAGTAAGAAACATTTAACATTAATTTCGAGTTTGGAGCCTTGAAAATTAACTAAAGAACCTTAAAGAAGACCTGTTACAAAAAATAGACAATTTGAAATATTTGTATTGACATAAAAATGATACAAACCTTTAAATATATTTAGCAAATAAAAAAACAAAATTTCAAAAATAATTTATTTTAAACCAAACCTTTCCCTAAAATATGTAAGTATATGAAGTTTTTATAGAACAATAATAAAAAACAATAATAATACAACCAACAAACATTTAAATATAATATATAGACTGTTTAGTATAACTTAAGTAAATATTAAAAACATATAATTATGATGATATATTATTTAAAAGTTAAAACATTTTGATATAAAAATTTATAATAAATAACTTAGTAATAATAATATCGACGTTCGCAAATAAAAATATCGTGTCTCAATGTTTGGCAAAAATTAGATAAGATCATTTATAATCAAACTAATTTTTTTGTTTGAATGCTAAAAAGAAACATTTTTTCAATATATTCGACAAAAATATAATTTAATTGAAAAAGATGATACTTTTACTTTGGAAAATAATCCTAACTAATTTTTGTCATGTGGTTTAAAATATTCAAAATATTTCATTATTTTGTTCCCTAAACCTACGAGTTTTAGAATTTTTTTTGACAAAGAAAAACAACTCAGGATGATGTTTTCGAATGTGTACTCCAAGATTTCCTTTTTGTTTTGCCCTATATGGACAATGAGGACAATTGAACATCGGTTCTTTTCCACCACACTCAACTTGTTCGTGTCTTGTCAAAGTCGATTTCCACCGGTACTTTTTACCGCAATGCTTGCAGGCAAACTCTGATTCAGGACTAAATCCGTGTTTTTTGCCAGTCAGTACATTTAGTTTTTTATTTTTATCATCCTTTTGTAAAAGAGACTTCAATTGAGGTGGTATTAGGATTTTGTCGAACTCTAAAAACTCTAAAAATGGATGGTTTTTATTAATAGAACAAAAATAAAAAAAATTTACCTCCCAACAATGTGTTAGCACAACTGTTTTTACAAATGTTAGTTTGGAATTTATTTACAAAAGTTTAAAACATAAAGTAAAATAAAATATACTAGAAGATGGTCCGCAGCAGCTAGAAAAATTAAAAAATAATTAAACAATAAAACGTTTTATTTAATTAACTTACTCAGAAATTTTTAAGCTTTTATATACATAAACAGTAGGGTGGTCTACAATTGTATGTAAGAAAAAAAAATTGTTGAATCTAGACTCCACATATAGGTCATTTTTTTAAGTAATTTTGTAATCATTTTTATACTCTCTAGGTTGCCATTTACTGGTGGTCCATTTTAATGTTACTTGTTTTACATATCGCAATGTCGATATTTAGCTCTCAAAAAGCACTGTACTTCTCAAAGCGAAAATAATATAAATCTCGAGATTTTATGTTGCTGCGACTAAAATAAAAATCGTTGACGACAAAAAAAAGATTTTTCATGTAGCATTCGTAAAACTACAACAAGGGAGAATAAAGATACATTTGGGACACTTTTACGACCATCTACGTCTTCTTCTGAAAACTCTTAAATAGAAGTGTAAGTTTGGTTTATGTGGGATATTGGAATAAAGGTCTACTTAAAATTAGAGCTTCCCACAACGATATTCAGCTCTTAGATATTCTGAAAAGTTATACAAACAGAAGATCAGTGTTTTTATGAGGCATCATTGGTTTCTTTCAGAGCACTTAATTGATTCGGAATTTTTGAGGACAGAGTGCCTCCATAAATTAAATAAATAAAAATAAAAATATAAGGCTTTCTAATTGGCCACGTCGCACAGTAGGCTAGAGCGCGCTTCCAGCGCGAATAAATTCAAAATAAGTAAGTGTTTTATTTCGACCAAATTTAGGAAATTTTGAATTCTTTATTATCTGTAGATAATAAAACATCTTTAAATCACCTTCAAATCTGTTGAATTTTTATCAGGTAACCAGTCAAAGTTTAGGAATTATAATTACTTGCTTTGTGTTGATAAATTGTGCGTAAAGGTATTGCTTCTTTTACAATGTTTATTATTAATTTATTCTTACTTTTTGACTATAATTGTATTAAATACAGTCATAAGTTATGGCTGGGACGAATAATGGTTAGTTTTTATTATTATTGTACTGTCACTACCTTAATAAAGTAACCGCTGCATACTTTTAATGTATGTATGGACATTATTAAGGTTTTAAAAAATGTCACTCACTGTCACACTCTGTGTTTAGGTTTTTTTAATAGCTTACCGTTCTGTCTTTCAAATAAATCTTAAATCAAGTGCTAGTAGGCGCAACAAATATGGTTTGTTTATTTTTTTCAGTTAATACATTATCCCTAACTCATACGGAGCTTTGTGAAAAGTGTTTTAATTTGAAGCATTTCAATATAAAATTAGTTTTAAATTACTTAGTAGACTACGCATTTACAAAAATATATGTATTTTGGAAAAAACTTAATTCAATTTTTTTTTAATATAGAAAAACCATGGAAGCCCAGAAGAAATATCATTGTATTAAATATATTGTCAGGCGTTGGTGATGAAAACCATCAATTAAAAAGCTACTAATACCAATAAATAATTTTGAATTAATTACTGATAACTATTAGTTAAAATTAATAATTTTTGCCACGACCGCTATATTCTAGAGAGCGCTTCCAGCGCGCGAAAATTTAAAATGTGTAAGTGTTTTATTTCGAGAAAATTTAGTGAATTTTGATTTTTTTAATATCTGTAGTAAATCAAATAATGTTATATAACCTTCAAATCTGTTGAATTGAAAAAAATTTTAAAAAATGATATTAAAAACTATAAGATAGTAGGCAGTGGCGGCTGGTCAGGTACGGCAAGTACGGCCCGGCCTCATTTTCATATCTAACGTACCGTATTGCAGCTCGAATTCAGCCGAAATATATTTTATTAGCCACGTCGCACAGTAGGCTGGAGCGCGCTTCCAGCGCGAAGAAATTCAAAATAAGTAAGTGTTTTATTTCGACCACATTTAGGGAATTTTGAATTCTTTAATATCTGTAGATAATCTGTAGATAATGATCTTTAAATCACCTTCAAATCTATTGAATTTTTATCAGGTAACCAGTCAAAGTTTAAGAATTATAATTACTTGCTTTGTGTTGGTAAATTGCGCGTGAAGGTTTTGCTTCTCTTACAATGTTATTTCCTAATTTATTTTTAAATTTTGACCATCATTGTATTCAATACTGTCATACGTTATAGCTGGAACAAATAATGATAAGTTTTAATAATTATTGTACTGTCCTTACGTCAATAAAGAAAGCGCTGCATTGATGTATGTATGAACAATACAAAGGTTTTAAAAAAATTTACGCATTCTCACACTCTGTGTTAAGTGTTTTTAATAGCTTACTGTTCTGTCTTTTAAATAAATCTAAAATTAAGTGCTAGTAGGCGCCACAAATATATTTTGTTTAAAGCATTTTAATAGAAAGTTGGTTTTAAATTACTTAGTAAATTGCATTTACAAAAATAAATGTATCTCGGAAAAAAACTTAATTCAAAAATTTAATTTTTTTCAAAAAATATAGAAAACGCTGAAAGACCAGAAGTAATATTATTGTATAAAATACGTAACGTAAAAATAATTCAGTTATATTTTTGTAATTTACTTATTAAAACTATAGATCTTAATTTTGCCATCACACAAATATACTTTTGTTGTTAAAGTATTATATTGTGGATTTGCTTTTCTATTGGTAGTAAAAAGTAATTTTTATTAAAATTTCATCAATAAGACCAAAAAAATTAACATTACCTAAGAATTACTTAACCAAATAATTTCTTCGCGGTAAATTGGCTCTCTAGCCCACTGTGCGTCGCATTAATTAATGACTAAGGACGAAAAACAGATGCAGTCTATTCTTCTCTAAGTCGCAAATTACCGGAAACAATTTTCTGAGCCATAAAAAGCATCCCTTAAGTCGTGATTTTTATTTTATTGTTTCATATTATTAATTTTTCTAATATATATCTACGTTTAATTACACTGTAGGGAGGTGAAAATATCACAGATAAACGCTCGGACATGTAAACCTAATTTTTGGTCGTAGTTTACAAATCCGTGCTTGATTTAGCTCTATATATCAAGTCAAAATTCAAAGATATTTAATTTTTAAGTTTTAGAGCAGCATCCCATTAGGAATCACCCAGTATAAATTTAAAAAAAATCAAAACAAATTCTTGCAAAATTTGAGGATTTTTTTTAAATAATTTAGAGAATTCGAAATGTTATTTTTTCTTATTTTTTTTATTGAGTATAATTGAGGATTTTATATTATATTAAACGAAATAAAAAGCATACGAATGTTGGCACGAGAGGTGAAATATATTATTTTACAAATTATAATATACCCAGTATACAGTGAGTTCCCGGATCGGATTGCCAATAGGAAAAACGTTTTTATACCTGATACAGCTAAACTAAAAATTATTTTACGTGTTCGAGCGTTTAGCTGTGATATTTCAAGAGTTGAAAATGTCCCTACAGTGTTATGGGTGACCTCTAAATGCTATCCGATTCCAAAAAAATTTGTACCAATCAATTATTTATATATTTGTATCCAACAGTCCCAGGGATTTCATGGAATAAAATAACTTGTAGAGACAACATTTTCAAAACTTTTATTTTTTTGACCACCCAAACATTGTATATGTAAATATAACCTAACCTATAGGTTACACTTTTACTTCTGTATCAAAAAATTAAAAGAAGCCCATCTATGTACGTACTAAGCCAAATAGATATTTTAAGAGATTTAAATGCTTTACAAAAAAGGTATTCTTTGTTTTTTTCGTAAACCTAGCCATTTAAAAAATATCTTAGGTCAAAGTTTAAAAAACTTTAATTTTCTTTTTAATTTTACAACTTGTAGAATGGGTAATATAGTTTTAAAATTAGTAGTAGTGATATTTGTAATAAATTAACTGTTCTACAAAAAAGTTGTCTTTAGTTTGTTCAAAGATAAGAGCGCGCGCAGAATAATAATACGTTTTGTTTTATATAAAGTATATCATTGTATGGTCTAGTATTTAAGAAACCTAGCTCTTAATATGATGTTTTTTGAACTTTTCCTATGAATAATTGTTGATATAAATGTATCTCATCCAGGAGGCTCGGGCACCGTAATAATTTTTTTTAATAAATATTTTGAAATAAATTTCAGAAAAAAATGTGAAAATAGTTAAAAGATTATTTTAATTATTAAGAAGGCAAATTTATAAAGACATTTCAAAAATCTAAAAGTAAAATTAATATTTTTCATCAATAGTTATTAATATTATTATTGTTTTACTTATTAAGTTGAACTTAGTTACGATTATATTTGAAACGCTTAGATTTATCAATAGACCTAAAAAACCTTTTTTGTAGATTATTTGATTTCCGAAAAAATATGTACTACTCATTTCAAATTTATAACCATTCTGCGAATTATATAATTTTGAATATATTTTTTTTTTAATTTTGACCCAAGATATGTTTTAATGGATAGGTTTACGAAAACAACATATGATACATTTTTTGTAGAGCATTTAATTACATATGAAGAACTTAGCTTTAACATTTTTTTCATAGACTAATGTGAAATGGAAAATTGGGATGAGGATCTTACTATTATAATTAAGAGCTCATACTTCTTTTGAGGTGATCAGCAACCAATTTTTCGATATCAGAATTAAAAAAAAAGAATAGTACATTTTTTGAAGCAGCCTATATGTGTATAGTATACACTGTATACATTAAGATGCCGTTTTCCAAAAGATTTTGCAAGGGATAGTTTCTTTCTTAGGATATTCTTCTATGATAAATTTTAAACAAACAAATTACATGAATTGGATATATTCAAAATCATGTTTTTATTTACACCTATTATTGGCAATTTAAATACATTACATTACACTTAAGAAATAATTGTTATACATTTATTATAATACACGTATACGTGTAAAATATTTTTAAACATAAAATCTACTGTACTTAGCAGCTAGATAAAATAAAGGTTTTAAAAAGTAAAACGTATCCTTTGTATGGATTAAATTAAGGGCCTAATGCAAAATTGGCATCATTTTTCAAGAAACCAATTAAAATACATATCTAACCAAGTGGTTTTAAAAAAACAAAGATTCTAAAAATAAAGTTATTCCCTTTTACCTTTTTTTTTAATAACATGTACATGAAGGTATAATAGCGTAAATAAAACCTAAACTAATTTCTATACATTAGTTAAATCTAAATTGTTTAAATAGTTCCCATATTCTAACTTGATTGGACTTCCTTATGTTAATTAAACCTATAATTATATATAATAATAGGTTTAACCTATAGGTTTGACTTCTTCATATGAGTATACGACATCCTGTGTCTCTGAAGAACATGAAAGTACTTGCAATGAAAATCGCATGTTCTGCAATAATATTGTGGAATTTTCCCGCAATCGTTTTTCATGTGAGTGTATACTGATGTTTTGTGTTTATATATTTTTTTACATCCCGGACAAATGTAGTCACCATTGGAGTTTTGTGTTATTATTTTTCCATGGACATCTAAAAATGAGATTATTAAAAAAATGCACTGGCAGATTCTCAGTTTACTTGCTACTTCATTAAATAATACTTAAAACTACCACAAAAATACAAAATAATTACAAATTTTTTATTCACAATAAAATAGTTTTACATTTTTGTTGATTTTTAACATTTATTATTCCTTAATCTGTTATGTAATTACAAGTCTGCTTTTTCTTTCTTTAATGCCACATAACAATAATCCAACTTTAAATTATTCTGAAACATCATGGACTTAACGCATGTTGGACAGAATTTGCAAATATGTTCCATGCAAATCGGAGTTTCACATTTCAAACAAAAATATTTGGTTTTTCGATTTTTTTTAGATGAACATATCATACATCTAAGACGCTTTTGAAGCTCGGCTATTTTCGGTAAATTGAGAAAACTTGATTTCATAATCGTTCCTAAAATATATTTTCCATTATCATCTATTATGTTAATAATTTATTTATACAAATTTGGACTTAAAAACAAAATATACAAAAAATGTTTATTCTTATGATAAAATTAACAATTAATATGTTCGTTAAAACAATTCAAACAATAATGGGGAAAATTGTTGCATCCTGTACAGTATAAAGCTGATTTTTTTATTCGACTTTTAGGTATTATATAATGTTGTTTCTTTCTTGTACATCCAACGCAATTTTTTCTTACTTCAACAGCTTTTCCTGATCGTTTCATCAAAATATGTAAATCGAGTTTTCTATAACCTTAAAATAAATTATTATTTAAATTCAACATAATTATAAATAACCAATAAACAATAAGTTCTTAAGTACCAAGTTTATTTATATTTACAAATATAAGTACATTCTATTCAAATAACTTTTTCGATTTATATTTATTTTCGTAATGACTGTGAATCTGCCTCATGTGACACAATGTGGCAGCTTTTTGTTTCGATATATATGGACAAAAGTTGCACATAAATGTAGGCAATTTCTGGCATTCGTATTTCCCATGTCTCCATAAAGAACTTTGATGTTTGTAAAGTTTTCCACAGATTTGACATGCAAAGGCATCTAAAAATGTTATAGATTATTTTTAGTAACCTAATAATCAAATAACTAACGTTTAACACTATACTTTCCCACTCCACGCGCCGTTTACAACATTAAATCAGTCTTGTTTCGCATTTGACACATCAAGTTAATAAACAACCGAATTAATGTATGTATAACTTTAATAACATGTAAAAATAAGTCAAAAAATTATTCTGAATTCATGAAAAGGCACGAAACAGTCAACGCATAAAGCCAGTTTACATTCATTACAAATCATTTTGGTTCTTTTTTCGAGGCCGTTTTTGGCACATAGTGCACATCTTCTTCGGGTGGGTCCGGCAACATAAAAATTACGATGGTCCAGCTCTGGGTTGGCTACCATTAACAGCCTCTTTCTTTTACGACCTTTAGTAGTAACTAAAATATTTTTTTAATTTTAAATAATTGAACCACACGTGAAAGTATTAGTACCAGTATACCTAGGGGTTAGATACTAAACTACATAGCAACAAGGGATTTAATAAAATAGAATTAGCATTCAAAATTATATTTATGTATTTACATTAAAATGTTTATTTTTCATGTGCAATAAAAGATTGTGATTGTAGTAAAATTTTTGGTAGCAATATTGACACTGAAGTGATGGGCCCCTTTGACATTCATAACGAATATGTCTTAATAAGGATTTTTTGTTTTTGTAGCTTTTTACATTACATTCATTGCACTTAAAACCTAAAATAATAAAGGGATAAATAATAAAATTCAACTAACGTAGGTAGCCAAAATAGTTAACACGTTTTTAGAAATAATATGTACCTTTTTAAGAAACATTGGCTACTTACAAATGTATTAGGGTGATTTAAAAAATCTACATTTCTTTTTTTTTTGACTTATGATATCGAAAAATGGTTGGCTGGGCACCTAAAAACTAGGTATGAACTCGTACATTTCAATTTTCCATTTTCAGATTGATCCAATGAAAAAAATTTTGTATCTCACTAATTAATGAATAAAAAGGGACATATTTTAATGGGAAGTTATCTTAGGTAAAAGTTTGAATATATATATATGAGTATGAGTATGAGTATAAGAGACGTATACGTTGTATAAAACCAACCCCATTGCCTCATCACTCCCGGACCCCGTACAGGCCTATGTTTACTTAAGCCGATTTTTGTTCGCCCCCAGCAACTGCACGGCTTCACCCGTGTTTGCTGGGTGCGAATGTCCATTGCGTTCCGTACTGTCCCCTATTTGAAGCTCGAGAGCGACATGCGAATAGTTTTAATAGCCATTCTCGGGTTCGCCGAGCCGATGCTATACGCCCAGTAGTGTATAGAGGAGGAGGGACGGGAGGGATAGACGTTTGTTGGTTTTTGGGGGACAATTACGACGACTTAAAACTAAGTACGACCCGAAATCCCCCTAGACCATTCGATTAGTATTACTCCAAACATTTGGGATTACTATTTGGAGTTGGGGAGTTGTTATTTCGCTGCAGGGGTGTAGTTTCCTAGTCGAGGTCTTCGTCTTGTTCGTGATTGTCATTGCCCGTGTCCTCAGTCTTGATGCCGAAAACCATCAATAGATAGTTCAGTAGCTGGATATGTAACTTGTAGCTTTTGGTGTTTTTTTTAAATTGTTTATTGCCGCAGTAGTGCGAAATTTCTAACATTTTTTTTTATTAGTTATTGTGTTGCCCAAGCACGTTTTGTGGTAGAGTTTTGTCTTTTTTTCTTAAATTCCAAAATTAAGTAATGCATTTATTTATTAGTTAAACAAATAACAAGCGCAATTATTCTGTTATCTAATGTTTACAAATCCAGTAGAGTTTGGTTATTAATAATAACTTATTATGCTTTTTTTACTATGTTAGGGTTATAATGATTAATGTGTTAGTTTATTCTGTGTGTCTAGTGTTTAATATTGGTCTCGTTTGGGTTAGCCTTACACATTTTTTGTTGACAAATTAATATTTTAAAATAAAATTTTAGTAAAAAAGTTAAAATCTTATTTTTAACAATAAATATAAACACAAATTTATAAAGATATTTCAAAAATCTAAAAGTAAAATTAATATTTTTTACGGTTGTTGTTAAAAAAGATTAAAGTATGCAAGTTAAACTTTAGTTGCAATTATATTTGAAACGCTTACATTTATTAAAAAAACTAAGGAGGCCTTTTTATAGATTAGTCAATTTTCAACAACTCCTTTTAAAATCCTAACTATTCTGCGAGTTATACAATTTCAAAAAAAAAAATCAAAATTTTTAAATTTTGACCTAAGATATCTTGTATAATGGCTGTTTACTGGACTGGAGCTTTATATTCATTTATTTGTGAAATGTTTTTTATCTAATGTTTAAATGGAAAATTGGAAAGGGGAAGATCTTTCTTAATCGTAGATGGGCTTTTTTGAAGTGTCCAGCGAAACAGTTTTTCGATATCAGAAGTCAAAAAAAAAGAAAAGTAGATTTTTGAAATTCACACAGTTCTATAGAAGACTAGTTTGCCGAAGGTTTTTGACGTAGTGAATCCATTCCATTAGGTATTCAAGAAATTCTAACCCAAAAGAGGAAGTTATATTATTTTAACACAACTTTACCTAGGAGTACTTCTTATATCCTTTAAAATATTCAATATACTTTCTCCTCTTCGAAAAATCACTATCTGAAATTTATGAGGTTGGTTGCATAAAAATTTGATTCATTGTTTTCTTGTAAGGGTAGTTAAAATTTCTCAAAAACCTGACGTCATGATGTCTGATCCGAATTTAGCGCATCCCAAACCGGAATGGTATGATTTCAACAAAAGATTTACAACTTTGATAAACCGCTCCCAACTATCCCGAAAATAATGTTGTTGGAAAAAAGTTAATTTTATTTTGGAATGAAAAGAAAATTTGACCATTTAAAAACCATGGAAAATAAGAATAATAATTTTGGTAAATACTACTATTAAATAGACATAAACTATAGAAAAGATTTATTTATCAATTACATTGTTATTAATAGTTTTAAACATAAAACATTTTTTAAATAACAAAATAATAAATTCTAAATAAATATATTAACCTTTGGTTTATAAAACTAGTTAGTTATTTTTTTTTTAAACCATCTATTTAAAATCCAAAATAATCCTTATGTTTTTTGTGTAAATGTTGCTTAATATTTCCTTTAACTTTAGCCATATAATTGCATCCCTCAACAGGGCACTCGAATTGAGGGTCCTTCCCACATTCATACTTTTGATGATGTCGTAGGCCCCTTTTGTATTTATAAGATCTTTTGCAATTAAAACATGTAAAGTTATTTACAAAATATCGTAGAACTACAAATAAAACAATAATTAATCTAAATTCAATATTATATTTATTGGCACACCAAAACAAGCTGTCAATTCAAATTCAAATGGGCCTTTAAAAACGCTTATAAAATAATATAATGCTTTATGTATCATTTTGATTCATCATGCAGTAGCAAATCGGAATGGACCCTATAAAGATGTTGTTTTAAGTTTCCTTTAGTTTTTGTTGAAAAACTACAGTAGGTGCAATGGAATTGTGGAACTTTTCCGCATTCGAATTTTTGATGAGATTTTAAGTTTTTTTGGTATTTATACCTTCTTTTACAAGAATTACATTGATATACATTTACAGCACCTAAAAAAGATCTTTGTTATGATTTAATAATATTGCTTAAGACTTAGTTGGTAAATAACAATGTTGGCTATGTAAAAATGAAACACAATTTTAGAATTAATATATTTATATTAATTATAAGTTCTTGCACAATAAATATAATAGACATAATTTAGGTATAAATAGAGCAAGGGGGATTTTTTTGTACAATTCTAAAATATTTTTTATATTTAGATATCTTTAAAAAACAAAATATTAAGATCTTAAAACTTAATATGGAAATAATTGGTACCATAGCAGCTAATAAATAATTCGCCAGTCGTAAACCCTATGGCTGCGGAAAAGTAATGCACATTTCTATAATAAGTTTTCATAATACTTTTAATTAAACATAAATAAATAATTAATCCTGAAAAAGATTTACTTTTGCTCCTAAGTCTATTTTATGGACACGTTTAAGATGTTTGTTAAAATTTCCTTTAAGTTTTGTAGAAAGTGTACAGTTTTCAAATGGGCAAACATATTGAGCGGTTTTTCCACATTCGTATTTCATATGATTGTACAAGGCTTTCTTGACCTGATATTTCTTGTCACAATTTACACAGCAAAACTGTTTAAAATCTAAAAAATAGACCATAAGTATAAAATAAGTTTGGACAACAAATTTTAAAGGGTATAATTTTACTTACAATTCTAGTTTAGCGTAACACGATCTACACCAGTGGCGGTAGTGCTATTTAAAGCAAGGTATACCTTGCCTATAAGCATTTTTTAAATTAAATTTAACTTATTATAAATCTCCATAACCTTCATTACTGGGCCATGGCAAATCCACACGTCATATAGCAGACTCATTCGCCAGATAAATTTTCAATTAATTGCTGGGCTGAAATCGTCTGCCCACATTTCTTGTCCCCTCGATCAAATACTAAAACTTACCTTGATCTCTTGGAACATGAACTACCAATTCTTATGAAAGATGTTTCCCTCGATTTAGACTAAATTTATGGTTTATGCACGGTGGTGGCGCATACCCAATTGGCTGAATAAAATTTTTTCAGGACGGTGGATAGGTAACAATTCCCAAATTAGTGACTCTCGTAGAACAGGGTTCTAAGATATGAGAATAAAATTCTTATGGGCTACTTTTAGGGGGCTCCGAAAAAGGGGGCCACTTGACAAAAATAAAAAATACGTGTCCTCTAAATTTGTCTCAAGAATCTGTGATCAAATTTCGGGCCTAAAATATCCAAGATTTCGTTTATTTTTGTTTTTTTAATCATCTATTAAGTTTGGTGGAAATTGGATTGGATTGGAACTTGTATTGGATTAGATTATTACATTGCTTAAATATTGTGAATTAAATAATTTGGTTCAAAAAAGGCATAAAAATGTTTTTTATACTTGCGCTAAATTAGTTACGCCCTGGAATTCTGAATGGTTAAAAGCATTTTTTTGCTTTTATTGTATGCACTCTGTTTAAGGTTTAAAATTATAAAAAAATTAAACCTGAATGAGTTTCCAATGAAAGAAAGTTAATATAAGAATTACTTCCTTTAATACATCATGTACAAACAGGGGAACCGGGGAGACTTGACCAGGTGGTACAGAAATTTTTGAGGTAAAAATAATCGAAGCAGCCTTTAGTCTTTTGCAAACCGGTATCAAAAAATGTTAGACGCCGGCCTGAAAAATGTTTTTTGCCACTCCGGTGTGACGTTTTATTTATTAATAAATTACCAGAGTATTAGATGAGCTACCTATTTAATGATGATTA